CTTTAACGGGGACAGAAGGTCTCTTTCTATAAGTCTATAACATATAACTAAACTGTTGTTGTATGTAAAGTAAATAAGGTTTTCAAAATGTTTAAGAAGCTTTATTTAAAATTAAATTAAAATGCAGAGCCCCCCGGACCGGTGGCCAGGACCCGGGCAGTGTGAGTGCCACTGAAAATCAGCTCGTGTGCTGCCTTCGGCACGCCTGCCATAGGTTGCCTACCCGTGGTATACACAATACATTTCCTCTCCATCTGCTGGATAGTGCAGTGTACGAAATCGGGAAAGATCTGAGCTCAGAAATGATTTTGAGAATCCAAACAACAGCTGCTACATCATCATATTCTCCTTTAAACCACTCCTTTAAACCCACCTGTGCCATGATGCCTACAAGACACTTGGCCATAGTTAGCCACTGGTGAGCTGTGACTACTGCTTGTCACACTGTTCATACCTGTATCACTGTTACCTTGTGCTCACCCCATCTGCCATCCACCTGTTGTAGCTCAACAAACTTCAATTGTAAACTCTTTTGGACAGCGACCAGCTTTCTGTTCTGGTTGTGTAGAGCCTAGTAGAGTGGGGCTCTGGTCTCTAGGTGGTGCCATAACAAGAAGACTGGAAGAATAATTAATATATGCATTCCTTTCCTCCTCTTTTCTCTTTGACTTTCTTTCTGCACATTATTTTCTAAACACTTCACCACTAAGTTTGCTCTCCTCTGAACTCGCTTCACATCTGTGTCTTTTGAACACCAGGGTGCCCAAAACCATGAACTGAAGGTTGGCTGATATATCAGTGCAAAACATCTGGATGTCTTGGCCCTCATACGCCACACAAAACCAGACGTCCATCTTTATAAAGAGACGACAGTCAGAGATAATGCGGCCCAGGTAAGCAGCTGGCCTCAGGCGCAGGGCAGCATCACAGTGCATTGCATCGGGGTAACTGACTCCCAGGGCTGGTCCTGTGCTCGCTGACACCAATGACAAAGCTCCCATTGACTTTAAAGCGGCAGGAGCAGAGGAGCGTGGCCAAAGCACCATGCAGGAAAGGAAGCAGTGGCCCATATACTTTGTAGTAGCAGCTGTGGTCTGGATGCACACCAGCATTACAACTGGGGGTAAGGACTGCATGCCTTAGTCTTGCACCTAGCGAATACACTTCTAAGAAGGAGCAGCCCATTGATTCAGCCTATGCACTCTCTTCCTAGAGTGTGATCCTAAATTAACACACACACTCCTAGAGTTATCCAGGGAATAAATTAATGCCATGGAACTCAACAAGAGCTGAATGTAGTGAGCACTAATGTGGCACTTACACGTTTTCAGATTCCTTTCTTATACATGATGCTACCTGGAAAATGCTGTTCAGCCCCATTTCCTACCCCACAAGGGATTGTAGCAGTGGGGATATAAGCACAAAATATCAGGGGATTTATTTCCTTGTGCTGTTTTTACAGCACTTTGAGGAATTTGTATGCAAAGCGCTTTGTGAGACTAAATTACTATTATTACACAGTATTAGAATAGCCCACCCATTAGGGGCATCCTGAGATTATTTTCCATTCTGAACTGAGCCTCTTAATCATTCTTTCCTCATTTCTGCTGGGATGAATGTTAAATCAGATCAGAGATTTCAACCTTAATCAGATCTTTTATATCCTGACACTAATTCAGATGCACAAAACAGAAGCAAAGGGACAGGAATGTTAGGCTTTAAAAATATACGAGCTATGTTCTTGATTGGTGTAAATCCGCATTGCTCCACTGGCTTCAGTGACTACATAGACAGAACCTATGATTTGCCTCTGGTCTCTTCTCTATAACTAGGAGGAGAAGAAGGTATCTCTAGGTGGAACCATAGAGCTGAAGTATCACTCCACTGAAAACAGGCCTCAGAGCTGGCTTATATATCAAATGGAAAACGATTTGGGAAGTCTCTTCCTTCAGGGACAGTGTACACATCAGAAACTTCTGTGCAACGTGCCATGATTGTCTTAAGGCTTGCCAGCACTTTCCTATTTCAGAAAGCATACACCATCCTCTACTAGCACAGACAGAATCCAGGAAGAACTGCATCTAATATTTCACGGTAATGAAGGTGACAGAGTACGAAGCTCATGCTGCATGTACAATATGTCTGTTTAGCTCCGTTGTAGTGGATGTTCTTTACAAGTGAATATTAATTAAAATCACAGTACTGTAAAAGAACATTTAAAATATAGGCCATGCCATCTGCTACTCAGCACAATGACGGACTACGTAACAGCCAGTAGAGCAGTGCAGATCCAAGGGGGAGATGCACGGTGGTAGTGGGCTGAATGGGGCAAAATCCCCGAAGAAAGTAAAAAGATAAAACAAAGGCAAGACAATGCGAAGAGTGGGAGGAAATTACAACTTCCCACCCTTATTCACAGTGGGCAGTACCTTAGGCAGAGCCGACGCTCCAACTTTTGCACTGATGTAACTGAAGGGATGGTTTTTCCACTGATCTAGTTAAACCAGTGCACATTTCTGTGTGGACACTATTAAACTCAGCAATTTAGCTTATCGTGGTAAAGAGTCAATTTCAGCTAAGTTGACACAAGCCAGATTTAAATCAATGTCAGCGTGTCCATGCAGGGGTTTTACAGCAGTTTAACTAATTTGGTCTTTAATTAAGAGAAGGCAAAGAACTCCAGAAAGAGGAAGAATCCACTCCAAAGCGGCACATTGCACAAACTGAATCTATACAAAGCTGAGAAAGTCAGGTACCCTGGTGTGTGGGGACTTTGAATGTACACACCTTGCATTTGCTTGTCACATAGTCCAAGCTGACATCCGAAGAAGTGGGCTGTAGTCCACGAAAGCTTATGCTCTAATAAATTTGTTAGTCTCTAAGGTGCCACAAGTACTCCTGTTCTTCTTTTTGCGGATACAGACTAACACGGCTGTTACTCTGAAAAATGACCTTGATAGAATCTCTCAGCAATTGTCACTCAAGTCTTTGAAAACCTCTGCAATGTGTTAAGCACAAACAGGCTTTTGCTTAAATATCACACATGCATGCTTCTTGTTTCACCTATTTCCTTAAATATTTCCTGTTGACAGTCACCAAAACCTTCTCTCCTCCCCCACCCATTTTGAGTGCTCCTACACTCCTCCGACAGAGTTTGTAGCACTGCAACGAAGTCAAAGCCACAGCTGTTCTATTCTGTACTGCCCAGTAAATTCAGTACTTTGGAGACCAACACAGATGTTCTTGGTCTTAGAAACAAAGTGTGCTCCTTATCTACTTTCTGCTTCTGTCTTTCCATTCAATAAATCTAGTAACTTGTGGAGCAACTCACAATCCATTCTTGGGTCAAACTTTACTTACAAATTAGTAGAAAAGAGTTAACTTTTCTGGGTCACTACTTTTTGTTAACACGTGTTTCAATGTGAATATGTCTAGCTATCTGGCAAACATTCATAATCTTATTTCAACTGAAGTTGATGAGAGTTTTGCTGGTTTTTTTTAATGGGAACAGGAGCAAGTCCATTAGCAGAAGCCATATACCCTTTGTGTGACTGAGAAAGAAGAATCTAAGCACTGAAATGCCCTATTAAGAGACGTGTTTCTAAGAACAGCCCTTATTTATTCTATAAAACAATTTAGTGCCTCTAGAATCATTTACAACAGTTTACCTTTGGTGTCACTCTAATTCAAAAGCTAAACAGTCTAGTCTCTATTCTACATCATTTAAAACTAGACTGAAAATCAAACCAGCTTTGAATCATATTATCACTCACAGCACAGACACCACTGCCTAATATTAACACTAAGGCCATGCTTCCACTACGACTTACGTCATTCAGGGCTGTGAAAATAACACAACCCCCAAGCGACATAAGTTTTGCCAGCATAAGTGGTCATGTGCACTGCGCTATGTTGGTGGGAGAGTCTCTCCTGCCGACGCAGCTACTACCACTCACTGGGGCTGGTTTAGGTATGTCGACGGGAGAGCTCTCTCCCGTCAGCATAGAGCAGCTACACAAGAGATCTTACAGTGGCATCAGTACAGCTGTGCCACTAATGTAGACATGGCCTAAGAGCTACCTTAATTTCTCTCTCTCTCTCTCTCACACACACACACACACACACACACAGAAATTCTCACTCCCCTTATCTACTCACCCAAATACTTTCAAATGGATTCTTAAAGTATGGTTTGCTAATTTTTATGCCCGTTCAGTTTTATTCTCTGGTGACATACCACTGCTTCCAAAGACAATGTTCCATAGAGGACAAAGGCCAATTAATAATGTAAATTACATTGATTGCGAAAGGTGAAATGTAGCTGACACTATGGTCATCAATTCACCTGCTGAATCGGCAGTGGATGGGAGGCTAGGGAAGTGGGAGGGGTCTCTTTTGGCAGAGGAGAGGGAGAGGGCCATGTGAGGATATGTGGACTATTTCTTTAAGTATGTAGCAAACAGTCAGGCAGGAGGGGAGCTGGGGAAGGTTCAAGGCCGAAGCTGTAAATCTTTGTGAAGCACAGAAAGGGAGCCAGAACGAACGCTGGCTTCCTCACTGTAACGGAGTTCCTTGTTCAGTGAGAGAAGAAAGTGATTCTTTCCCACCATCACATGACGGGGAAGAACAGGAGCCGGTTGTGGGGGTAGGAGCAGGGAAGGGTCTAGAGGAGGATTTCCTTCAGTAAGAACAGTCGAGATGACCTCAGGGTATGTCTATAGTGCAATGAAATGCCTGCGGTTGGCCCATGTCAGCTGACTCAGGCGCACAGGGCTGCTGAATTGGGGTATAGAGGTTTGGGCTCGGGCTGGACACCGCAAGGGGGAGAGTCCCAGAGCCTGGGCTCCATCCCAAATGCAGACGTCTACACCTCAACTAAAAAGCCCCTGGGCTCGCGGGGCTCAGGCTGAGTCTGCTGGCACGGGCCAGCCACAAGTTTCGATATACCCTCTGGGACTAGACATAGCCAATCCAGGCAACAGATTAACAATATGGGCCCGCCTGTCACTCACACTAAACCCACCCTAAACCACTCTGGTCATGTAAAGACACCTAAGGAGCAGATTATATTTACATCCAAGTTAAGGCACCTTTCCGTTACTAGAGCACTGCACAATGGCCTTAGTGCAGAGGTGGGCAACCTACGGCCTGCAAGCCACATCCAGCCCACGGGCCCGTCCTGCCCAGCCCTTGAGCTCCTGGCCGGGGAAGCTAGCCCCTCTCCCCCGCAGCCTCACCTTGCCGTGCCGACAGCGCTCTGGGCAGCGCGGCGGCGTGGCTGGCTCCGGCTGGGCAGCGCAACTCAGGAGCGGATTTACCAGTGAACACAGGGTGCACTGGCACAGGGCCCCCCAACAACAGGGGGCCCCAGGGACCGGCACTCAGGCAGCTCAGCACCGGCGACCCCCCACGGGGGGGGGGCTGCATTGGGGGGGCAGGGGAGCAGGGAGGGAGACTCATCTGCAGCCTCAGGGGAGCAGGTGGGTGGTGTGGGTGGCGGAAGCGCGGGGAACGTAGCTGGAGGTCTCAGGAGGACACTGGGTGGCGGCGCAGCCGGCTGGAGAGAAGCGGCGCTTTGAAGGGGAAACTGCTGCTTCTCTCCAGCTGCAGGGCTGCCCCTGCTCCTCCTGAGTCCTCCGCCCATCTTCGCAGGGCCACATTCCGAAAGGGGCTTCAGAGGGGGGGTTGGATAGGGGGTGGGGTCCCAGGGTGGGCGGTTGGGGGGCGGGGGGTCCTGGGAGGGGTCGGTCAGGGGACCAGGAGCAGGGGGGGTTGGATAGGCGTGGGAGTCCCGGGGGGGGAGGCATGTCAGGGGGCGGGGGTGTGGCTAGGGGGCAGGGCAGTCAAGGGACAGGTAGCGGGGGGGTTGGATAGGGGGTGGGGTACCGGGGGGGTGGTTAGGGGTGAGGGTCCTGGGGGAGGGCATGTCAGGGGGCAGGGGTGTGGATAGGGGGCAGGGCAGTCAGGGGGACAAGGAGCAGGGGGGGGTGGATGGGTCAGGGGTTCTGAGGGCGGGAAGTGGCGGATAGGGGGCAGGGGCCAGGCTGTTTGGGGAGGCACAGCCTTCCCTACCTGGCCCTCTGTACAGTTTTGGAACCCTGATGTGGCCCTCAGGCCAAAAAATTTGCCCACCCCTGCCTTAGTGTAACTGAGAGACAAGCCTCACTTCATTAAGATGGGACGCACAAGAACCAGCCTAAGCACACTGATGAATTACGGACGTGCACTCCTGCTTTCTGCGAGATGGCTCAGTGCAAAAGCCCCATTAAGTCGCAACATGGCCACCCTTCCGTTACTGTCAAATAAAGCTACTTCATTCACATGGGGAGGGCTGCAGACAGCAAACTGCAAAACAGCATAACAACTTCTCCCCATGTCCCTCCTGAAACAAAACAAAGCACTTTTAACTGTCTTCTCCTATGAACTCTAGTAGCAAAACAAATACCCTTGGCTACACAGTTCTATTTTCCATAGGGAAAAAGGACAAACAAATACCTAGGCACAATCTGTGATTCAATCTTATAGTTTGCTGTACCTTAAGTTGTTTTTCATGATAAAAAAAGTCCAGTTTCAGTTCAATTCTCAAAATAACTACTGTGTGGTTTCCATTTCAGACAGCAGCCTTTCAGTTTCAACTGAACAATGAAAATTGTTTTCTGCTTCTAGAGCTGGTCAAAACTTTCAAATGTTCAAAATTTCAATGCAAATGTTTCATGAAAAAACATTGCTGGGTTTCAGCCAGTTTAAAGAGCAGATCAAAATTTGCTGAAAACTCAAAATGTTAACAAAATGTGTTCAGGGAAAATAATCTCCGAAAGGTGGCAAAGTTGTCACCACTTTCTAACCATTCCATGATAATTCCTCGTGAACATGTTTTTCCTCCCCATCAGTGCTTTTTACCTGTTTGCCACCAGGTGTCAACAAGGGTGCACCGGCTGTCTCCCACTACATTGTAGAACCATTGCCAAGCTTCATGGTTAATTGGTTCTCCCACTAAATCCAAAACAGTAAAGAAATAAGGGTGAATTCTGGTGAAAGGATTTGTATGCAGTGTGCTTTCCCTTCAATATATTTAGGCTTGGAAGAATTAGATTTTATTGGTAAATATCGGTAGGTGTCAATATCACCATAAACACCAAACCATCCAAAAATATTTCCATTGACAATAATTGAAATTACAGATAGGCAAAGTAAGAAAAATGCTGCTTGAGAACTTATTACAGTTTGATTTAAGAATATTTGCTTTGCATATTTTGACATGTGATTTTGACAATGTGTTTAACTTTTTAAATCTCAAAGTCTGTCTCTGAATAATTATTGTCTAATTGCCTCCTTAATTCCCCTCAACTATGAAAAAGTAAATTGATAAAAATTGGGAAAAAAATGCTTAAAGCCCATAATTTCGTGCAACTTTTGAAAATTTAAATAGATAAAAAAATTAAAATGCTTAAAAATAATCAATATTATCCATTGAAATCATAAAAAAAAGGAAAATCGAGTTCTGCCAAGCCTAAATCCATTGCATGCCTACTGCATGATCTCAGGCATTTCTGAACATAAATAATTTGTCTACACCTACTAACTACTGATAGCATTTTGCTGAGACATGAGAAGAAGCTTAATGTACCTGTGTAATATGATTAGGGCCCTACCAAATTCACGGTCCATTTTGGTCAATTTCACGATGATAGGATTTAAAAAATTATAAATTTCATGATTTCAGCTATTTAAATCTGAAATTTCACAGTGTTGTAACTGTAGGGGTCCTGACCCAAAAGAGGGTTGTTGGGGGGGGGTCACAAGATTATTGTAGGGGGCTCACGGTATTGCCACCCTTACTTCTGTGCTGCTGCCTTCAGAGCTAGGCTGCCAGAGAGCGGCGGCTGCTGAAAGCAGAACTGCCGCCAGCAGGATCTCAGAAGTAAGGATGGGATGGGATGGGATTGCCACCATTACTTCTGTGCTGTTGCCTGCAGAGCTGGGCCCTCAGTCAGCAGCTGCCGCTCTCCAAACGCCCAGCTCCGAAGGCAGCAGTGCAAAAGTAAGGATGGCCTGGTGTGGTATTGCCACCCTTCCTTCGGCGCTGCTGCTTACGGGGCGCTGCCTTCAGACCTGGGCACCTGGCCTGCAGCTGCTGCTCTCTGGCCACCCAGCTCTGAAGGCAGCATAGAAGTAAGGGTGGCAATGCCACGACCCCCCCTACAATAACCTTGCGACCCCCCCTGCACCTCCCTTTTGGGTTGGGACCCCCAGTTTGAGAAATGCTGGGGTCTCCCCCATGAAATCTGTATAGTATAGGGTAAAAGTACACAAAAGACTAGGTTTCACGGGCGAGACCAGATTTCATGGTCCGTGACACCTTTTTCATGGCTGTGAATTTGGTAGGGCCCTAAATATGATGAACCTCACAATTTAAGACATTCCTTTCCTAGGACTGGTGAAAAGCAAAAAGGAATCTAAGGGAAGGTAAGTACTAACTGAAGGTAATTTGGGGGGTATTTAGAAAATCAAAATGATGCTGATGCAAGGGCTGTCTAAGCATCCCAAGCCTTAGAATTATTAACGCTCTATGATGCCACAAGCACAACTGAATTTCTTTGGCATCTTTTTCTGGAGAATGTTATTCTCATAAAGGAATCTAGGAAATGGGGGATAATTCAAAGATATTTATTCAATTGCCCTGGCATTGGGCTCTTCATTTTTTCTACATAAATAGTAACTAAACAACTGTATGTGAAACCTGTATTTGAAAGAACATCCATTCTTAGCCATTCCAAGCCAATCCTCCACTGGTGTAAATTAGCACAACTGACTTCAACTGAGCAACACAGATTTCCATCTGTTGAGAACCTGTCCCGACAATTCCCTTCATAAGAACGTTTAGTTCCTCTCACCTGATCCCAGGGTTTTTAAGGAAGATCTGTCATACTTCTTCACCCACTTATCTCCATACTTCAGCAGCAGGCGTACAGCAGTAGGTGCACCGTAAAACTGATTAATTTTTAATCTCTGTACAGTTTCCCAATAACGACCTGCAAAATCCCAAATATTCTTCTTTAGTCTGTCTGGTTACAGAACAAAGCTACTGTTACAAACGCTGCACACTTAAGTAAACAGTAAGACAAAACTCTACAGCAACTATTTGCTGTATCTATAGTACAATACTGATGGCACCTTTATTACCCTGGGTACATACACATTCCTGGTTTGTATAATCACATCCTCAAAAGAAACGGGACCGGTGATAATAGGAAAGAGAATACATCCCCTAAGGTAGCCAGGTCACACTTGATAGGCTCCTAAGCCATATACATGTGCAATTAAAACTGCGACCATCACTCCCTCACCTGGGTCAGGATACAGCGGAGTGCTTTCAAACAGCACAGAGGTGCCTCCATTACAGAGTGGTCCATATACAACATAGCTATGTCCCGTGATCCAGCCAATATCAGCCACACAACCAAAAACATCGCCTTGCTGGTAGTCAAACACATGCTGCAAAGATAAACAGTGAGGCTGTTTTTGTAATGCTGAAAGAACCAATCTATGCTGCACGGGATGAATTATTTCATTCAGCCATGTAAAGCTGATACAGGAAGTAAGCCTAAACAGACAGAGGAGATATAAGTGCACAGAGGCAAGGCTGGCCTAGGGACTGGAGGCTACAATACCTCTCAGACCCAAGAGTGGGCCAGATCCTGTGCGTCTCAGTCCTTAAATCGGACGAACTCCCCTTGGTGTCAGTGGGAGTCTGCAGAGTCAACATGAAGGACGTGACCCCACACTGTGTAGGGAGTCACCTGTGCCTGCGCAGTGTCCCACCAATGCTAATGGGCTCCCCAGAGAGGCAGAGCTCATGGCAGGTTGCTCCTCAGGATTTAACCAACGCTACAGTTACAAAGTGTTCTGTTTACTTCCCGTTTAATACCCGGGGTATTAATGAAGGAAACGAGGTATCCGTAGGAGACTCACCGATGTTCAGCTTGCCCCAGGAACTCCTCACTCCAATCTCACAGATACAGCCTTTCACATTATATTTTAGATAAAAGCATCTGGGGCTGATTATACTTCCTCAGCTATCAAAAATGTTCTGCCTAGAAAATCTACCTTCTTGCACCAGCTGATGCATGTTATCAGAGCTGGAAAGTTACAGCTAGATTTACCTTTTAAATAAAAAAACCTGAGAGTTCCACAAAAATCCAACACTCTACTCTGAAATCAAAATCAAAGGGTCATAGAATGGAGCGGCAGGAAAGATCTCATCAGTCAGCCAGTCAATGTCCCTACCAGTGCTGGATTATTCCTACTGTACATTTTCTAGTGCTTGAAAGGCAGTACATTTAAGAGGAAAGCATCTGTGTAGGAAGCAAGACTCTCCGAATGCCTAGACCAAAGTTGGGAACCATCTTCTTGGACTGAGAAGCAAACAGATTCGTGGGCCCCACCTTGCTGCTGTTTGAAGAATAAAAAAAGCTGACTGGTGTGACTCCACCCCATTGGAGAAAGGTTTAACAGCTCACCCCATCGTCTTGAATGGATAATCCTCAAATGTTCTAAAATTCACCTCTGAGCTGAGATTAACCCAAAGACGAATATCTAGAAAATTACAAGTGAGTGAGAGGCTGGGACTAGAATTGAAATCTCATCTAGAAACTTCAGTATAATATATGGATTTCTATTACACTCTTCAGGAGGGGATCTCAAAGCAGAAACCGCAAGAAGTTAAGCCTCACAACACCGCTTTGGGATGGTCGCATTAGCCCCATTTTGCTTATGGGGAAATGAAGGTCCAGTGAGGCTAACGGGCTTGCCCAACATCACATCGCAAATCAGTGGCAGAGGCAGAAATACTGAGTGTTAATACAATTTGTTTGCTCTTCAACAGACAAGCGTCACAAAAGGAGGTCCCTTGTTCAGAATCCAGCACCTCTCTGCAGTAAGAGCAATCAGTGCAGTACTGGAGTGCAAAACTAAACCAGTAAATGACCAATGAATTCAAAATGCTCAGGTGGAATCACTGCATCATTTGGATTCTTTACAACCCCCGGGATCTGATTCTCCTAGTAGTGTACTTCCTGAAAGCAAATCGATACTATTTAATTATTAATATGCTCCTGTGTACTTTTCAACTCGATTACACAGATTATGCCACATAATTTGCAAACACTGATGTAAGCAGCCTTGTTAAACAAACAAATGTCCCACATTAATATTGATAAAGCACCAATGGTCATTTTCTGCAAGTAACATTGCTGAAGTACCTTGTGTGTCACAGCAGCATAAAGCAGATACCCAGCCTGAGTGTGAACAATCCCTTTGGGTTTTCCTGTGCTCCCGGAGGTGTACAGCATGAAGAGCATGTCTTCACTGTCCATGCTTTCAGGAGCACACACAGGGGCCTCCTTGGCCATCTCCTAAGACGAGAGAAGTTGCAAAAGAAACACGTTAGCCTCACACAGCAAATCCTTTCATAGCACTTCAGTGTTTCACCAGGGTCCTAGCTACGTACAGAAGAACTGTCATTTCTTCAGCTGATGCCATCTTTTTCTGCAGAGAGACTGGCAAGAGCTGAGTATTTACGAAAAGAAAGGCATCGAAGCAGATGAAGAATGACCTGGCATGGATGCTCAAATGACAGGCACCCTCTGTTCCCCTGACTCAGAAACAAAAGAATGTGTGCAGCACACCCCACATAAGCGTTCATGTGGCATGTATGCCACACCCATTCTCTAGACCCACACTTCTGAGAGTCTCAGGCGTTAGAAGAAAGTGGATTAATAAAGCCATCTATAAAAACAGCAGGGACTCTCATAGGATAAAAGTTGCGGAAAATAGAAGTGTGATTCCCATAAGGAGCCACACTTTGCAATAATAGAAAGGTCTTTAGGGGACAAGTTCCATTAGGGAGTCTTCTTTTTCTAATTCACACTTCTCCATTTAATTTTAAGTCACATTTAGGATTTCCCAATGCCTGCCTCCACTTCCTGGCTAGAGAAGGAGCTGAGAGCCACTGCTGACGATACATGGCATAGACTTGACTTTAAGAGAAAATCCACGTTTTATTTTTCCCTCTCCAAACACAGACCCAGCTAACTTCCTAGTAAGAATCCTTTGCTCCCTACTGGACAATGTAACCCCCATGGCACAGTTATCGGTAGAACTCCCAGCAGGGCGCATTCAGGATGCTATGGGCTCAATTCTGACACAGTCCAGGTGCCATCAAAAGGGAGTGAGGGGAATAAGCTCCTTATATCCCTACTCAAGTTACCCTGACCGTGGGCCTGGCATGGAGGAGTATGGGGGTTCCTGGCCTGCTTATTCCCTCCCTAGAACAAGTGACTGGAGAGAGGGTGAAGGCTTAGCTGCAACCCTCACCCCTCCAGGGGGGGAGAGTAGCTGGTCCAATGGTGGTCAGTAGCAATTTGCTGCCAGTATAGGTCAGCAGTAAATCAATACCCCAGCTCACCTCTGGAATATGGAGAGAATAAAGGTGGAATTATGCCTCAGCAGGGGTATCTGAGTCACAGTGCCTCCTAGAGCTACTCCTGGGATGATGCAGTTTATACACCACTCCTTGCTCAGGCCTGGGCCTATATTCAAAATACAGCCCCATGAGGCTGACTCCCTATTGCCTTCCACCCAGTGGTGTCATTTACACCTGTGCAAAGTGGGTGTGAAAACACTCCCATCTGCTTTAACAGTCTTACATCCCCTGGGCCCAGGTGCACCGGCCCAAGGTGCAAGGCAGAGGGGAGTGGGGTCACTGTGCACATATCAACACTTTATGCACCACCCCCTGAAATCAGAAGTCCATTCCGGTGGGAGGCTGATGAATTAGTCCAGGCTACAATCTTTCATCCTCAGCAGACTCCTTCCCTCTTTCATCTTCGAGTTCACCCAGAGCAGCAATCAGATTTTCAGGTTCATTCAGCACTACTTTCCTGCCAGCCTTGCTTACGTTGAGGAGTACGTTACTCACACAAGTAGTCTCATTGACAGTAATTAGACTATTCACAGGGAACTTGATGGGACACCGAAGACAATGGGAATTTTACACTGACTTCAACAGGCTTTGATCAGGTTCCGAGTGCGGTACAACTCAGCATGCCGAAGGGTGGCAGAACCTGGCCCTGGGTTAACAAAATCCAGAGGCTGGTTAGTCACTTCCCTGGATACTGAGTTGGTAACAGCTGGCTCTGTGGTAGGTGAAAATAGAACTTCCATAACCTTAGAGCATTGATATAATACAATTAGGGCTGTCAAGCAATTAAAAAATTAATTGTGATTAATCGCGTGATTGAAAAAATTAATTGCGATTAATCACACTGTTAAACAATAGAATACCATTTCTTTAAATATTTGTAGATGTTTTCTAAATCTTCAAATATATTGATTTCAATTATAACACAGAATACAAAGATTTCAGACTGGTAGCCGTGTTAGTCTGTAGCAGCAAAAACAACAAGGAGTCCTTGTGGCACCTTGGAGACTAGCAAATTTATTTGGGCATTTGCTAGGCTCTAAGGTGCCACAAGGACTCCTTGTTGTTTTTACAGAATACAAAGTGTACAGTGCTCACTTTATATTTATTTTTTATTACAAATATTTGCACTGTAAAAAACAAAACAAAAAATCGGATTTTTCGATTCACCTAATACAAGTACTGTAATGCAATCTCTTTATCATGAAAGTTGAACTTACAAATGTGGAATTATGTACAAAAAAACCTGCATTCAAAAATAAAACAATCTAAAACTTTTAGAGCCTACAAGTCCACTCGGTCCTATTTCTTGTTCAGCCAATCACTCAGACAAACAAGTTTGTTTACATTTTCCCACTTCTTGTTCACAATGTCATGTGAAAAGTGTTCTCCTGGCACTGTTGTAGCCAGCGTCGCAAAATATTTACATGTCAGATGGGCTAAAGCTTCATATATCCCTTCATGCTTCAACCACCATCCCAGAGGACATGCATCCATGCTGATGATGGGTTCTGCTTGATAACAATCCAAAGCAGTGTGGACCAACGCATGTTCATTTTCGTCAGATGCCACCAGAAGGTTGATTTTCTTCTTTGGGGGTTCGGGTTCAGAAGTTTCCACATCAGAGTGTTGCTCTTTTAAGACTTCTGAAAGCATGCTCCATACCTCGTCCCTCTCAGATTTTGGAAGGCACTTCAGATTCTTAAACCTTGGGTCAAGTGCTATAGCTATCTTTGGAAATCTTACATTGGTACCTTCTTTGTGTTTTGTCAAATCTGCAGCGAAAGTGTTCTTTAAATGAATATGTGCTAAATCATCATGCGAGAGTACTATAACATGAAATATATGGCAGAATGTGGGTAAAACACAGAGCAGGAGACATACAATTTTCTCCCAAAGAGTTTAATTTAATTAACGTATTATTTTTTTAACGAGCATCATCAGAATGGAAGCATGTCCTCTGGAATGGTGGCCGAAGCATGAAGGGGCATATGAATGTTTGGCAGATCTGGCATGTAAATACTTTGAAATGCCAGCTAAAAAAGTGCCATGCAAATGCCTGTTTTTTTAATCACGATTAATATTTTTGAGTTAATCGCGTGAGTTAACTGCGATTAATCGACAGCCCTTAATATAATATAATGTGCTGCTCACAGTCCAACTAGTTCTGAAGAACGTTTACCCTGAAATGTCATTAGATGGTCAAAATGTACTTTACATATTCCAGATCCAATAAAAACTAGATGTATTAAAAGACTCAGCCTCTTTCTGCTGGTTCTAATTTCCTAATTCTCTTCCTCTCCTAGAACAATCGTACCGTCACTTTCTCACTGATTTTTACTTCTGAATGATTATACCATACCCTAGGCTTCTTGTCTCTCTTGCTTTGTTTATACTGATTTGAGCCGATTACGTTTGAGAAGAGTAAATCTGTTTCTTAACCATCATTTCAGAAATAACTCAGCAGCTGAGCATCCAGTAAGTGTCCAGAGTGAACTGGTACATGAGAAATCAGGCTGTAAGCATATGCTCTGATGAGTCATCATGTTATCAAGCACCTGAACCCTGCATGAAAGTGTAATGAAATAACTGCTGGTTCATACGAGCAGTGGATTCAGTTAGTTCAGCTGGGATATGGGAGAGGTTGAGGTCTCTCTTAAGGGCAGAGATCTGGAACAGATGTCCTGCAAAAACAACTCCTCTAGGAACAGCTTTTCTTGGAGAGAAAGTTTAGACTGAAATGTATGTTGTTGTAACTTAAATGACCAGTTAAGTCAAACCCTAGGAAGGGGATAAGCTTGGACTATATCTAGCGTGTGTAAACTCTGTTCAGAACAGGGTACCTGTTACAGGATCGTTTCATTTTTACTGGCTCAGTACTTAGCGCTTGTTTCTTCAGTGCCCGTACTGATCTCTCTATTACTGTTTCTTTCCATCTGAAGAGGAGGGATGTTTTAATTTTCTTCTATATAAATTGCTGGGGTTCTTCAGTAGTTACTTATGGTCCATTATCAAACACCATCTTCCCAGGGAGTATATATAATGCAAATAAACTCCTTAGTGGTTTTTGTTAAGGCTGTTGTGGATGCTGAAGTTACTTCTTACTGCTGCTGACCTATACACGGAAGCATCATTTATCTTTCTCAGGAAAATTAATATGAAGGCACTGCCATACTCAAGTCAGCCATTTGCCCAGATGCACAGGTGCTAAGGTGAGAGTGTTCATAACTATCATATGCAAACTCCACAGCCTTTAGCTCAATCTTAATCAAATCCTGAACACAGAAATAGCGTCTCACTTCAGCCACCATGTGACATGTCCCAGAATGCTCTCTGTGCAGATCCTGTCGCATTCTTGCTCCATAGCATGGAGAGATTATCAAATACATTCCCCTGAGGTAAACCACCTTGTTCAGTTGGGAGACTATCCTTTCTCACTAGTGTTCCAAAGCCTCCTCTGCCACAAAATTTGACTGGCCATTTATTGTACACCTACTCATTTGGGAGGGAACAGGATCTTTCCAAGCCTCTTCAGCAGTATTCTCCAAGGACACAAAGCAGTTAATCAGTGTATGAACCAGAGAAAATGTCCTTTTTCCCTATGGAACTCTCCCAAAAATTCAGTGCAACTTTAGTAAACCATCGCCATTACTAAGTCCTGCTGATTCTGGCCTTCAGTATTGTAACAATAAATACATAAGATCAATGCCCAGTGTTGCATGTTCAGTCATCCAATGTTGGTACAGCTGACTCAAGGGTCTGGGTACTGTAACTAAGCAAACTTTTCAATTACAGTGATATTAGTGGAATTGTATCATAATAAAAGGTTCATTGTTATAAACAGAGATTCTTTTCTTATTTGTGTCTCCCATTGCTCCCTTTAGAACAGTGGTTCTCAACCACAGTTACACGCATACCCCTGGGGATATGCAG